GGATTCCGATCACTCTCGGGAAGCGCGCTTGAATGAATGATTGATATAATGGGATCACATAAAATGATAGGGTCGTGTGAACGGATGCTAACGATGAGTAACAAGTTACCTTGGGATGAATCAAACATGCACCTACCTGAAGTATTCGCATGATGAAGCGAGAATGCTTTTGTGCGCGCATATAGATTCTGCCTCAGCGATGAAAGTGATGTCCGGGGCTTCCGTTTCGGACGCTATAGATCCGATCGATTCAGAGAGATCGCTGAAATTATTCATTTCGAACTTCGTGATTGCAATCCGTCTGTTGTTTCAGGGGAAGAAGAAATCCACAGCGACACCTGGTGGAATAATTCGAGAATTGAAGGAGAGTCGATATCAACAAAACATCGGATCGGAGCCGGAGGAGAGGATGCTTTCACGCGTGGAGACTCTCGGCAGGAACCGCAGAGCGTGATCAGACTTTAGGAAGAGCTTCGGCCCGACAGCGTCCCGGAGCTCAATGATGAATTATGATACCTTCATCGAAGCCGAAATCCAGCATTCGGAAACAGCGGCTCCAGATTCCACGGAGGCGACGTCCTCTCTAGGCGCTCAGCAGTCTCGAGTTTTTCTACTCAGGCCCACCGTAATATACTTCTACTAAAACAGAAAAAAACCTTCTCTCCTTCGGATAGCTGCGATGGGACGATTCGAGAGCGTGTCTCTCCGCAACTCTCGACTCTACTTCAAATCGAATCGAAGGATTTGAACTGAGGCTAGATCCACCGCGCAGAAAATAACTGACTCTCTCGCACCGGAAGAATCAGAGGGTAAGAGTTGTCACAAAAGACTCGCCCGCGATCCGCGGAAGCCCCGGCTTTCGACCTCTGAATTGCTCTATATGCGATCTGGAGACCGTCCCATGAAATCTCCACATCTTCCCGTGAGATGTCCGAATTCAAGATTGAACTCTGTTTCGTGAATGAGGGAAACTGTCTCGATTGGCGGAGTCTCTACGAGATGATTGCAGAGCGACCTCCGCGAGTTTCCCATCGGCGAAGGTACGCCACGGAGAGAATTTCCAGGTTTGTTCCTTTTTCCATGGAACACATGTCCAGCTGTGCGGCGTCGATGATGATGTTCATGCTTCAGCACCGTGAATCTCCTGGCGGAGACGGTGAGGAGCACAGTATCCGAACTATTCTTTCCTGCTTTATCTGAGCCGGGGATCAGTCTGATTCCGGGATGCTCATCAATAGAAGGAGGACTCGTTTGATCAGGCTCAGATGGTCTCATTCTGTTTTTCCGTAATCTCGTTAATAGATCAAAAATACGGATTAGCAAGATATCGGATCAAAATTCTTCATTTTTCTTTTAGAACAGATACAAAGCATTTCCAGCAAAGGGGGGTATGACGATAAAACAAGCGGAATCTCTCTCGAATCAGCGGCGATATAGGTGGTCGATCAGGATGGAAGCCTGTATGTTGAAAATGTTCTAACATCAGGAGGTGCCCGCAGAACTACTCAAGGCGATCGCTTCACTGGCGTTAACATCGTTCTTCTCAATGAGAAAACTCATAGAAAGAATTTCTACGCTGAGAGATGAGAGAGTGCCTAACAATGTGGTAGATGATCCGTATCTACCCACAACTGAGGCTATTCCTTCTAATCAGCAAGAAGATGAAAGTTCGAATTCAATGAACCAACCGCTAGTGCCGAACTAACACGACGCGAAAACGCCACCTGGAAATTAAGTTCATTCTCATCCCAGAAAAAGTACGAAAGCGCGCACCCACGCCTGAGACAGGCGAGGGTGAATCAGGCCTGACGCTGTGAAGAGGGAAGGAAAGGGATGACGTGGCGGTTTAATTAAAAATAAACGTTGTTCTAACATCCAACATCGGGCATAGTGTCCTCCCGATCTTCTCAAAACACCCTCGATTCTTTCAAGAGTCTTCTCGGGCTTCTCCCCCTCTTTCTCGGCATCCTCACTGAGATGCTTAATGTCGGCTAGACGATGGCACAAAAATTCAGTCTCATCTCTCTCCTGATGTCTGGCCTCAAGAAACCGATTTCTCATTTCCTCAGAGTTCTTCAACATCTCTTCCAGTCTCTCGATTCACTTCAAATGGTGACGAGGAAACTTCATGCAAATGCATATGCGCATATGCATGCGTGCAGGAATATGCGGAAATATGCAGGAATATGCGGAAATATGCAGGAATATGCGGAAGTATGCGGAAATATGCGGAAATATGCAGGAATATGCGGAAATATGCAGGAATATGCGGAAATATGCAGGAATATGCAGGAATATGCGGAAATATGCAGAGGCACGCAAACATGTCCTGAAACCCCCATGAGGTGTGCGGAACCGATTCGGATTCAGACTGCAGATCACTACAAGAGAGAACGCGGCATTGTTGGGTAAGATTGGCAAGAAGCTCTTTTCATCATTTTTTTTTTTTCTACTCACTGGTTGCAGAGAGCAACCACGTACTTTTTCATGTTCTAGAATTCGAACCCTCTGCGATTGTCGCTGAGGAACGCTTTGTATCTTGAAAACGACCGCCCGACTTCAAGCGACACGAAAGGCGCAGATTTGAATCGAGAGCGCTCGTCTGACGAGTACGTTGCGCTCAGTGGTGCGGAGTTGTCGCTCACGTCGCCTTGTAAGAGAAGGGCGATCGCTCTCAGTTCTTTGAGGCCCTCGTTCTTGTTGAAAACTCGGGACAGCTTGTCTCGAATGTCGACCAGCCGGCCTCTCCTGATTTTCAGAAACTCTGTTTTGAAATCGTCGATGAGGTTCACCGCGTCGACGAGCGGCATGTTGTTGGATTCGAGCTCCTGGATGATTCGCGGCAGGGCGCCGGAAGTACTGCGGATCATTGTGAGATTCGTTTTCAAGACGGCCCCGAATTCGACATCTGTGACAAATGCAGGGAAACGTTGGAAGGCTCAGAAACGAACCCCAATGATTCAATTCTGCTAAAATGCCACGAATGTTTACTGAGGCAAGCTCTCTACAGGGAACGGTCAGCCGCACTCACATTTATGGGGTGGCAGGAAGCCGAAATAAAGGCCAGGGATGGCGACATAGCGGCCAAGGCTGCACGAATTGTGGCTCTTCAAGCCCAAATGGCTCATCTGGAAAATCAGATGAAAGAGGCCATCCAGAAAACACCAGTGGAGTTCAGAACGCCGGCGCCGCGGGAGGCCTATTTGGGCCCGACGCTGGTGCTGATGATGGACCGCCACTGCGCGGAACTCATACCGGCAGAACTATCCCTCAATAAAATACTCAACAACCACAAGGGTTTCAAATGAAGGAAGCACCCTGTCGACTCGATCAAAAGGCTATGCCAAAAGGCAGCAGCCGACATCGAGAGGATAGAGTCGCCCAGTCCAATGACGATGCTCGTGTGGGGAGGTTTGAGAACTCTCTTGTACCCCTCATACAACAGATATGAGGCGGTCCGAGAGGCAACCAATGCAATCTCCGACCTGAATAAGCTCGATAAAGTAGCCCAGATAATCTACGCAACTCCCAACGTGGATGCGAAAGATTATGAACAGTCAATGTTCATGGAGAATCTACTGCAGGGCATCCCATCCACCGAGAATATCGACCTACGATATGTCCTAAGAAACCCTAAGTACATTGACGACAAAGGGTGGGCAACCGCTGGCAGAGTGGAAGCCATGATCAGGATGGGCCGAGCAATTGCCGGACATCTAGATATCACAGAAGCTGACCTCGAAAACCAGCTGGCGGAGATCCTGGGCAAGCTGCGAGGTAAACCCGACACAGACGCCAAGGCCCAAGACGAGGAGACTCAACCCTCCGATAAAAGTCGACAGCCGAACGCGAAGTCGGGAGAGCAAGGGCGACAACAAGACGACCCATCTCACTCGCAGCGCGCCGAGCTTCGGACGCTCGGAAAAGCCATCGCGTCCTCATTTCCAAAGGCCGGACGTCCCAAGGGAAGCCGGCTGGAAGAGAAACAGAGGCGAAACATCGATGGACTCCGGGAAAGACGAGAAGAAGAAGCAACGACCATTTGGCAGAGCCGACACGACAACCGGAGCCAGAGCGATCGTCCAGGCACATCCGGCACGAGGAGGGAGGCTGGGCCTCAACACCTCACATCCACACCGCGCCCGGATAAGACGACAAGGGAAACCGAAATACTGGCATCCCTTGAAAGCGCTCTAAAGAAGAAGGAATGACAGCGAGACTCCCCCTCGAAGACACCAAGCCAGGTCAATAAACAACTGTCGATTTTTTTCAAACTTGGTGTTTTCAATATAAGGGGGAAATAATGCTGTCAAATGGGGAAGCCTCAGGCAGGATTTACTGGATAAACAGAGAGGGGGTGAATCGAGCAACTACGATATCCTACTCTTATCTGAAACGAATCTCATGAATCTGGAAGAACCACCACCAATGGAGGGGTTCACATTCCTCGGAAGCAAACGAAACGGCCCGTCTGGTAGTAAGTCATCTGGTGGAACCGGGATACTCATCCGGTCCAACATGGGTGAAATTCACTGGACACACAAAGGGAACGACTTCATTGCCATAGGGATTGATATAGAAGGTCAATATTGGATCATCATATCAGTATACGCAGCAATTACTACTAACCGGGCGAATAGAGACCAATTCAATGAGATTGGAGAAACTATTCGAACTCACAAAAAAAGGGTAGTAGAATCGTGGTGGCAGGCGACATAAACGCCCACCTCCCACAATTCGACAGGAGACTCGACGGTCGCGGCAAACTCCTCCTGGATCTAGCCGACAAGAACGACCTCACGATTCTAAACCTGACAGAGAAGTGTAGCGGAAAAACCACAAGACTACAAGGCGGAATTTCCTCTACACTGGACTACGTGCTATGCAACTCCCTCGCATACAGAGACGTTAGAGACATGCACATAGACGAAAAGAAAGAAATCCTACACTGGAGCGACCATCATTTGATTACCATACATATAGGTAAATCAAAAATGAAGGCTCGGTCAGAGAAGGTACGAGTGAGAATTCTAGGGTCCCAAAAAGCAGCCGAAATGGCTTCGGAAATCTTGGAAGCCAAGGTTCGATCAACTAGATTACAAGGATCTGAGAAAAATCATGCAGGAGGCTATGACCCGGAATACGAAACTCGTGACTCTAAACCCGAAAAAATCTCTTACCTCTCCAGAGCTATCGAGACTATCGAGGCTCAGGAAAGAACAGAATCGGGCTCGGAGGAGAGCAAGACGCACTGGAAGAGGCGTCGCGGAGGCAATGCAACGATACAGACAAGCACAAGATGCCATTAGAAACGAAGTTGCTCGTCTGCTCGAAATAGAAGATCGTGAAATACACGATCGAATCATGGGCGCCCCCAGGCAAGCAAGAGCAAAAGCATTCTGGGACCACGTCAGAAAGGGAGAGAAGAAAATTCCAAGGCAGATCCAAGTGATAGATGCGAATGAGAACATAATCCAAACATCGGAGATGAAATCTC